TGCGCGACCGGGCCTCGTCCTCCGCGGACGCGTCGTCCTTCCACTCCGTGGGTGCGGGGGCGAAGGACATGTCCGTGCAGTCGCTCGCGCGCGCGCGCGCGCGCCAGACCCCGCCCCCGCCCCCGGAGCACGCGCGCGCGGGACCGTCGAGACGCCGACCGGTCGCGGAGCACGGCCGCCGCGAGCACGTCCGCGGTCGAGTCGAGCATGCCTGCGCGCCGGGGATGACAGGGCTCGCTCGCGCGCGCCGAAGCGATGGTTGGCCGCGCCCGGCGGGGCGAGCGCGAGGGACCGCGCGAGGGGCCGGGCGGGAACGTTCGAATTTCAAACTCGCCGGCGGACGCGCCGCGGTACACGACCCCCATCATCTCGGCGACGTTCTGCTCGATGAGGTCCGCGGCCTCGGTCTTCGCGACGAACTCCTGGCGCTCCTCGTGGTAGTTGACGAAGATCGACGCGATCGCGTCGAGCCGGAGCCTAAAGTTGACGAGGAACGCGGACGCGGCCGCGGACACCTGCACGGACAGTCGCTTCGACGCCCGGACGGGCGGCGTCGCTTCCGTCGCGCGCCGCGTGCCGCCGTCGTCGCGCGCCCGGGCGTTGCGCCGGCGGGGCTTGCGCGTCGACGCCTTGTCCTTGGCCATGGCTTGACACAAATCGATCAGCACCTGTGAGCGAAACGGTGATTGTGGGTGTGTGGCGGCGCTCGGGCGGGCTCGTGGGGCGCGCGGGGCGTCGCGCGGGGCGCGCGGGGCGCGCGGGGCCCCGGGGCGCGCGCGCGGGGCGAGAGACGCGGCGGCGCACGAGATCGAGTCGCTTCGAGCTCCTGGCGAGTTGTGGACATTCTGTTTGAAGTCCAAGTTGACACGAAACCCGAAAACATCGTGCCCGGAGTTTTTAGGTCGCGCCTCGTGCACTTCCCCCGGAGCGTCCCCAGGACCGCTCCCAGACCTCCGATCGAAAATTTGAAGGACCGCGTCGACGCGGCCGATGCCTCCGTCGGCGCGGACCGCGCACCGACCGCGGGGCTGCCACCGGTCGCCGCAGCGATCCCCGCAGCCGACGGGCCGTCCGCGTCGGGGCGCGGGGACCGGCGGGCGGAGCCGTGGCCGGAGCTCGCGACCCGCTGGACGGCCGGCGGAGACGCTGGGAGCCGTGGTTTAGCGATCGCTTTAGCAAGCACTTGCCCGGCATGCTCCTCTCCGGCCTCACGAGATTTTGTCCAAGTCTAATCTGTCATATATCGCCCGCACCACGAGTTGCGCGCGTCCGTGCGCCGCACGCGCGCCGCCGGGATTTCGTCACCGTCCCTGCACGGGCTCACGACGAGCGTCGTCGTGCAAAAAGCAGAGCACTCGGCGGCCGAGGCGTCGCTCCGGGTCGCGACGCCGGCGCTTTGCCGTCGGCACGCGGCCCGCGGCGCCGGAGGACGCACCGGGGCTTCGGGCCGAACCCACCGGTGATCGCGGCGGCGCGGGAGGCGCGGGAACGTCGCGTCGTGGTGCTCGCGAACCCGCGGGACCGGCGCGCTCGGCCGCTCGGCCCGATCGCGACGGATTCGCGTAATTTTTGGACGGATCGACGGCGCTCGGTCCCGCCGTCGCGGCGGACGTGCAGCGGCGCCGCGCGGACCGCGGCGTCGCGCCGGCCGGCTCCCCCGAGGACGCGTCGGAGCGGGTCGCGACGTCGGCGGCGGCGCTCGCGGAGGCCGCGCGACGGGAGGCGGAGGCGGAGGCGCGCGCCGTCGACCTCGCGGCGCGGCGGGCGACGACGGTCCACGGCGGCGTGACTAGGGGCCAGGCCGTGCGCGTCGTCGGGCTTCGCGACTACGAGGGCGAGGTCGGCGTGGCCTGCGGCTTCGCCGACGGCCGCTGGCGCGTCCGCTTCCGCGACGGGTCGCTCAAGGCCGCGCGGCCGGAGCACGTCGAGCCCCGGGAGGAAGGGCCGTTCTCCGGTCGCGTCGACGTGTACTGGGGCGACTCGCGCTGGAGCCGCGCGCAGCTTCTCGGCGAGATCGGCCGC